TATCCTGTTTATAGTTTCGAATTCTTTAAAAACATTTGCTACATAAAACTGATAGCCACTGGATTTTCCCGCTTAAATGAATTGCTACAAAAATGCTTAAAAGGAGCTCACTGGTGGTGCGGTCCTCAGCATAATCTCCATTCTTAGGATATTTGTTTGTTTAACTACTGTGTTATCCTCGAATCCCGAGGTTAGCCTGGCCAAAATCTGCGCCAGGTTGTCTCCGCCCTCGTGGATCAGAGGGGGATTTGCTACTATGCGGTTAGTTTATACCAGGACGGTGGTGGACAAATTTCTCCAGCACGTGATTCCAAAAATTGGTCTCTGGGTCTTACTGAAGGCTCTGATGATAAGGAATAGCAAAGACAATTGAACCAATTTCTAATAATAATGGAACTAATTCAGTTGAAAGAATTTTTACTTCATTAAATGCTGGTGCTGAAATATGTTCAACTCAACATATACTGAACGGGATACCATTTATTATCAGCTGGATCAAGCTTTTGTTTATTTCAAATGTATTCATTTATCTTGATCTTAAAGCTGTTCCCAAATCGTTATATGATGAATATCCTAAGCAGGCACTTCCTCCTAGCTTGATGTAATTGGATTATCTAAATTTCCTAGGGAAGTAAATGTCTAATATATCGATTTGTAAATGGAGATAGTAAACAGACTATCTGATTAAGTTATTACTATTGGGAAGGTTTTATTTACTTTTCATACTTTTACTACAAACTTTCGAAGAATTTGGTTCCTCAAATTCAAATCGGAAACCATGAGGGTGGTAACCAGAAATTTTGAGGATACCATTGCGTCTCATTTGCCGTACGAAATTCACCACAGACTAAAGCATCGACGAAGGAAAGCAGAATGAAAAACGGTTGGTGAGCTCTGAAGGATAAGAGTTTCATAATGGTACAATAGGAGAACTTATATCCAGCTAGAAAATACCTTGCGGATTCTTCTTAGTTTTCCAAATCAGTCGTCATAGTATTAAGTAAAAGTAAAAATTAAAATAGGCCCATTTGTCTCAAAAACCGACTTTTCTTTAACTTCGTTGTAAAAGAGTCCTTAACCATCCTTTAAAGAGTATCGCCGAGTGAGGTTGCCTCATTTGAGCAAAGCTCTACGGAAGAAGATCTGACTCGATACGACGACAGCGAGGAGACCACATAGAGAATACGAAGAAGGACGTCGAAACGTTGACTGAATGAAGGTTTGATAAGTATCAACCTCATGCTGGTTTATCAATTAAGGAAGACTTATTCCTTCGGCAGTTCATGAGCCATATATGACTCACACCGTCCACAGTATAGAAATAGAATTATAAATCTATTAAGTTTTTCCGACAATGTGTACGTACGTATGAGAGTATGTTAAAATAGAAACAGTATTTTTTTTAAGTCTGCTCTCAGTTTGTGATGTCTGTGGTGGTTTCTTTGTTTTTCTGGAATACTACTGCTTTCACCTCCCAATGGCTCACCGTCTCATCGTGGCTGGGAGGTGTTCTTGGGCGTCGGATTGCGATGTACAGCGGGAGATTCATCCGCTTGCAGGATCTTCCAAGCTGAGAAGGAGTCCAACGTTTCCATCAGGAAGCCTAGCTAAGAGTGAACCAATACCAAGATCCACCACCAAAGTCGCATGACGATAAATCTCGCTCTGATCCACAAGGGCTGCGGCTGCCCGTGGCGCAGAAGGACTGGGGCAGACTTTGGCCAGGCTGTTCTCGGGATTCTAGGGAACCACAATGGCTTTACCAGCAAATCTCCGGAAAATGGAGATTATGCTAGGGCCCACACGACTAGTGAGAACGGGCCATTCAAGTATCAAGTATCAAGTATTGCTTTCAAAAGGGGTTATAACGATTGCATAAAAAACGTAGGGAAGGAATTGGAAGAGAGTGTATCGAGAACTATATTTATTACACATATTTGTTACACTGACTGTAAAACAAGCTAGCGAATGTTGTTCTTGTTTAGTACAGGTGAGCCATGTTATCAATGATGTTGATGTTGTTCTTCAATCTGAAATTCTTCTCAAACATCACTCCCGAAACGCATGAAGCTTTTGTTTTTTTTTTGTTAAAATACATCTTCTAATAAAGGTATTTTTACAAACATGAAGTTTAACGGTTTGTACTTAGGTGTTATAAAAGTTCGGAAAGTGAAGAATGTTCGAGGATTCTAACGCGTTTTAATCCAGCCATGTTTTCCTTCTCTTCAAGGTTGAGAAATTGCTATGAGACCTGTATGTGAGGCACTCTCCTGTTTAGAAGGCTTGTGAGCGGTCTTATACGCCTGTCCGAGGATCGACTTTCGAATAGGAAGGATTCACTCGATCGGCATCCGATGATATTTTTAAAGGAGCCCGAACATCCTGAAGCAGTAGCCGAATCCACGCGCCAATCAGAGAAACGTCGTGAATGATCGAGGCGAGGGCACGAAAAGAGTGCAAGAAGTTTTGGATCTGCAGAGGGTTTGCAAAAACAGGTCATGTAGGAAAAAGCGTTGAAGACGTTGATCAAGCCCTTGCGAATGCGCCCTGTATTCGACCCTATTCGTAGAACCGTGGAGCTGGTGAATGCATATTTGGCCTCTAACCACTGCGCTACGCCCGACCATACATATAAGTACAAGCAATGAATTCGTTCTCTTGGTGCTGTTATTCGCTATTTTCTTATTCCTTGAACAATACTATTTTAATAACAACTTATTTTTCTCAAAGCACATAGGCTTATCGTCTTATTAACTTCATTAACGTCTTGTTTCTGTGGTTCGATAGATTTCACAACCCTGATAATGACAGTAGTAACCTCTGATTGTCGCTTCGAATTATAGCTTTGTCCTTGTCTTACATAGTTTCTTCTTTAATCTTCCAATGTTTCAAAGAAATTTTAGCAGCAGTAAATACCGTTTTCATATTTATAAAGCGAAACGACTTCAAATTAGTTTACTAACCAATTCTTAGACCAAAGAATGGTTATGAGGGGCAGTGCGATATGCTACATATCAATCTGCCATTAGAACTTCAGACGGTAATCCAATTCCCCTCCAGAGTCGGTCCACCAATCAGTTGAGTTCAGTCCATTAATACATCCATGGAGACACCCAGTTTTCGGTGGTGATTGCTTGACATGGCGCATTATTTTTTCTAACTGCCCAGTTGTGCATTGAATTAGATGCATATTAGTCAAAATTAACTTCCCACCATCTCTGGACAGGTGCACCATATACACTTCTCACAGTAACAGTCTTCCACGTTTGTCTATCTGCACAATAAGCAAGGAATTACTGCTGTACTCACGGAGATAAACGAAATCGTCTTGAATGTTATTAAAGAATAAAAAGATCATCGGAAAGAAAATGAGTTGCGAGCAATTCAAATCGTCGCGATCGCATTAATAACGCATTCACTTACGAACAGGAAATCCTTTTTTTCCATAGTTTTACTTCGATACTTGAGCAACTGGACAGTCCGTCTTCATAAAATGTGTTCTACATTCCTCGTTCATTTTCTTTCATCACAATCACCTTCCATGTTGATCTGTTTCGAACACAGTGACTTCAATAAGTATCATTCTATGGTTTTTCTTTCAATCGAAAGTGCATTTGTTAGCCGTTGGACGTAAAACACAAACATCACTTTCGCTTTCTTAAGCAGTGTTCCTAGAGAATGCATCTTCTTCTAGCCAACTCTAACGTTCTTCCCTTCTATCTATCGTCAAGTATTTTCATCGCTGTAGCGGCTTAGCTATTCACGTTACGTTACGCTTATGATTCCCAAATGGCTCACGTTGTAAGGCGATTCCCATGTCCATCTGTGTATATTCTCTAAAAATGAATTTCCGCCAACGTTTCAGGAAGCCGATTTCATCTCCATTTCCATCTCCTGTTCCAAATTTTTGGACACGCTAGTTCCTTCGTGGGCTTTTCCTTTTTGACGTTGTAGCATTCGTGAAAAAACCGTTTTATTCACTACATCACGTCTTCTTGCAGTGCACCTAATTCACTCTCATTGTGCACTATTGAGTTGAATTTGGGTATACTTGCGACAGTTAGAGGTGGTCAATAACCAATCGAGGTGACAAAATCCTGTGTGAGTTACCCCTATAGGCCATTATCAGTAACTCATAGGTGTCCGGCAAAGTCTGCACCGTCGACATTTCGTTACGAGATCTTCTAAGAGTAGTAATAAGGGACTCGTCGTTTAATTAATTGGTGTATTTCGTTCTTCATGCTTTAGGTCCTTATAGATTGTTCAAATGAAACTTGTTGAAGACTATGACTTTTAGGAGAATGTGAAGGTCCACGTTAAAAAAGACTACCCTTATGTTGTAGTTGTAAGACAAGGAACAGTATCCATGGTCTATTGTTAGTGTGTTGTTTTGGCCGGGTTTCGGTGCCATCCTATTCAGATGCGATATTTGATCGTGTCTCACTGGTTACCTGCTCCGTGGCGGAGACACATGGACCCAGTGTATTAGGTGTTAAAGTTGCTGTATTTCACCTGTGCTATTTGTTAGAGCATTGGGAGTTTTCGCTAAGCTGTTCTTAGCTCGTCTTCCCCACAGGCAATCACTGGCCCTCATAGATCCGAAATGGGGTGGTTTGCAACCAGCGACTATGTCTCTGTCACGTTCGCAAAAGTTGTCGTTTTTAGTGGAGATGAAAGTGTCGAAGTCTAATCCTTCTCAGGAAGCACAGTGTTCCATTTTGCATCTCGACACCCAAGAACACCTCCAGCGACTATGGTGTCCTGAAATATTGTAGAGTTCCGTCTTTTTCCCCGTGTAAAAATCTACATTCGTTACCCTTATGAATCTATAAATCGCGCTTTGTAATTAAACCTTTCAACGAGTCTGACCGACCAGTAAACATTGCTTCGGCTTTTAAAATTTTTAAACTGAATATATTTATTTCGTTGTTTAATACTTTATTCGAAATACTGTGTCTTAAACTTGACGAGCTTTTTCTAGCCGCTTCGGCTGCGCCGGTATGCAACGACTTGAATGTCATGTAAAGAACTATAATTGGGGAAAGAAGGGCAACAAAAGTGAAGTGGCTCGGTTATTCGCTGCTGGTCACAAAAACTTTGTGATGGACGAAAATGAGACCTATGCTGAAGTAAGTCATATCTGCTTCATTCAAATTCGTGCACTAATTCCCTTATGTTATGGTAATTATATATCGGTTAATTCGAACAATTTATCGTGTATTGTACCTCTGTGGTCTTCACAATCGACGAACCACCGTTTTGGCTTTTAATCTCGAGCGAATTCTCTATACGTGGTCGGATAGAGCGGCGAATGCTAGCTAGTAAATTTCTTCTTCAATTTCTTTGCCGTTCTTTTGGATGAAATAGTTTTTTTGTATAGGGCGTCAAAATTTTATGCGATATAAAATTTCGCTAAGGTATTCCTCATTGCGTAAACATGCCCGCACTCACTGGTTGTGCGGGCCCCAGCATAATCACCACTTTTCGGAGAGTTCCCTGGAATTCTGAGGTCAACCTGACCAAAGTCTGCCCCAGGGTGTCACCACGACAGGCAGTCGCAGCCCTTGTGGATCAGAGGGAGATTCACCACCATGTGACTTTGATACGGTGGGGATCCTGGTATTGGTTTACTCCTAGCTAAACTTCCTAATGGAAGCGCCGGACTCCTCAGCTTGGAGACCCTGCCGGAAGACGAATCCTTCCGCTGTACATCGCGGTCCGACACTCAGTAACACCCCCTAGCCGCGATGAGGCGGTAAACCGTTGGGAAACTTCAAACAGTGACGATGGCTGATTTATTTATCCTTTTTTTAGATCAAGTTAGTGATAGCCTTTATAGCCGCATTGTTTCCCGTAGCGAATGAAGTCTTCTACGCAATGCTTTCGCTATCAAATGCTTAAACTTAGCTTTTGCCATAGATCGTATTTCGATCCATTCCATAGATGGAATACAATAATTCAATTTTTGCCCGTTTCTGAATCCAGACACCATTGTTGCTTTATTGCATTGTGATGCATACCACATAGGGAAGCCGAAACAAATGCTTGAATTTTTAGAAATACTGTTCTGTATGAAGTTGAAGTTCCTACGGGGATTAAATCTCTTCACCTTTATTTAAAAATGCCACAATGAATGTTTTTTGAAGGAACTACTAGAAATTACAATGTTAACTTTTTATTCGCTGCTTATTACAATTTTTCACGGCCGGGTACCATGTGAAATAATAACTGTAGAGTGATGCTGAGGTATTTGTAAACCTCCGGACTGCAGGTGTCTGCTGTGGGGAACAACGCTGTGTTACCCATTCCTGGAGCTAGCGCGTTCACTACCGTACCATGCTGGTCTTTCGCTTCGTCTGCCTGTTAGCTAGTCTCCTATCGATCAGTGCCATCAGCAATCAATGGGATAACCCGTCAACGGGATTGATCCGGGGAGCCGAAATCGGCATTGAACTCAGCTAAGCTGAGGCTGTAGTTGTTTACTTTTTTAGATTACTGTAGCTTTTTTGTGGCGCGTTAGTTTCCCAGACTCCTGTGGTCCGAGGTTTTGCAGATATCTCAGCATCACTACGAGGAATTATTTGTACATTTAAATGAGTGATAGAGAATTTGCCTATTACTAGTTCACCAGTAGGATCTTTCATCTATCTTTTGCTGATAAACTGGTTGCAATTTCTTCAGCAGAGAATAAAATATTGGCGATTGATTGCCGCGGGTAGGATTTTTGGAACCTTTCTTTCTTTAAAAAGATAGGTAATCACAATCCATGAGACTTTTGCTTTGTCCAGAGGGATGATTTTAAGGAAATTGTAAAATATTGGTGAGTGGTGTTTAAATCTTCCGTTCATCATTTATAAGATCTAGAGAGATGACTGTGTGACATTTACAGCTTTGGATGGGTACACATCCCGATGGTCCAGCCGTGTTGTCAAATTCGGCCACTCGACTGTCATCGTTCATCGCTAAAAGTCACTCGGCTAGTTACTTAAGTAACAATAATTGGAAGGAGGACATTCATTTGCCATTCATCATGAAAGTCATGTCTATCGCTCGTTCTCTCAGTCTACAAGTTCATCCAACCAAGGTGATTTCTTCTAGCTAAACATTATTGTGTTGTTCATTCATCAATATTTACAGTCCAGCTTTCAGCGAGAACAACTTAAATATGTTTGCTTTGAAAGGTCGATAGCGAATGAAATATATGAGAGGCCCATCAGACAAGGCACATGAATCAGTTTTGCTTTATTTTCAGGAACAAGCTGCACGCCTTCATGAAAAAGACCCGGTTCACTACCCAGACAGGCATCATAAGCCTGAATTAGCCTATGCTTTAACGCAGTTTGAACTACTGTGCGGCTTCAGACCAGCGGATCAAATACTGAAAAATATTGAAGGTGAGCAATTTCGCTCACTAGTTTGTCGAATCCATGGCGATTTTTAGCATTTTCTCCGTTACGAGCTATGATGGATAGGCGCAACTGTGATAATCTTCGCGATGTGGTCAACGAAGAGAGAGACCAGCAATCTCTTAAGTGCCGGCAAGCATTAGCTTTGTGTTTCGGGTATGTCGATTGACAACTAAGCTGAAGACTTTCAGAGAAAGGCAATCAATTAAAAGACTGAATTGGTCTCTATAAAGAGTGATAACCTTTTAGGGAAATGATGGAGAAAACCCGAACTCATCCCGATATGGTCTCCGATTACGTGGACGAACTGGTCGAATGTCTTGAAGATGGCGGTGAGCCTTTCGAACTATTACAATATTTATAGAAATGACATAACAAAAATGAAGACAATATTCTACAGAACGACGTATTTTTCTATTGTTATGACACGACTGTTACCGTTCTATTTTTACCGTAACCGTACGCCTATTGTTTGTCAGTGCATTCCATAAAAAGAGAAGTTCATGTTTATCTTCAAGTTAGTGATTAATTTTAGTAGATATCGATCATTTTGCCGTGTATGTTTCGTCATTATCCGAAAACTCATTTCATTTATTTATGACCTTCTTACTTTTCTTTTCTCTTGCCAAAATTTAGCTTTTATTGAGGCTTAGAGTTTTATGTGAATAATCTATTTATTTATTGGAATAATCAGTTCCTCAGCGTTAGAACAAACCCTTAAACGTATGATGTCGACACTACTTCATCCATCTTTCACGAGGTGTTCATCTACAATGTCAGAACGTTTTTCCCTTTGTCTCAGACCTAGAAATCAGAATATAGAAATCGGATATCACTATATCAATAACTGGTGTAATGGTCATGTTCGATATGAGCTGCACTTCATTCTGTTCACGTTTAGTCCTCTCAATGTTAATCCTCAAGTCCTTCCAGAGGTTTGAGGATAGGCAGTTCTAGCAGTATACTTAGAAGATGGTTCACTTCTTGTTAGGATCATGATCTTTGCTTGAAAATCCAAAACGTTGTGCTCTTATACGCATGTGAGTAGTTTACAGAAAAAAATTTTTATACGGCGAACCTTAGACATAACAGTGACTTAGCTGACACCTCTTTATTTTCCAGTACCTAAAAATTTATCACGAATTTTTCCTTACTTTGATTCGCAACCTCTGAATGTCAATGTCAATACCGTGTTAGTACTTTCGATTAAAATTTGTCTTTACAGTTCGCGGTTGCTTGACTGATTCTACTGTCAAAGTCATCCAGAAAATGGCAATAGACTTCCCTGGTGATGTCGGTGTTTTCTCGCCGTTAATTCTGAATCATATAATTCTGAAGCCAGGAGAATGTTGTTACTATGCAGCTGAGGAGTTACATGCATACCTTAGTGGAGGTAATTGTTAGTAGACTTCAGAGAACTAATCAGAATATGCAGAGACCATTTACGCCAAGTGTAATACTGTTAGGAATTGTGTGGTTAGAGTGATGCGAGAAGTTCGCAAACCTATGCCGACAAGTAATTCTTCGTATTTTTGTTGAGCAAACGCGAGGTGTTATTATTCTTTATTCACGAATAAGCTGACGTTTCGGCGGATTTCGCCTTAAGGCGTTTGCTCAACAAAAATACGAAGAATTACTTGATCAATGCTGAGTTTAATAGAAAGTCAGTCGTGGGAGTTACCTATGCCGACATTCCCACATGGGTGGACTGCTGGCTTTTGCACCGAGTAACGATAAGGTATATTCGTTGGGAATGCATAAAAATAAGGGATAAAGCGTTCGCTGTTGATCAGCCCTTGAAGAATGGACCATGAATTTGACTTCGTCGTTAGAGGTGATTGAATGCATATCTGGCCTATACAGTGACTTGCGGTGGTCTGCTGATGTATCTGCTGTTATCCTTCCAGACAAGTTTGTCTGCAACCAATTTGCCAATCCCGGAACGATGTTAGGCTTGGTGAACCCGGGCTAAGAATCGAACCAACGACAGCGTATGCATTCGCAGGGCATCTCCTAACCACTCTACTACTTTATGTTATTGGAGGTAACCATCACAAACGTATACTGAAGAAATAAATTTGGTACTTACGGAAACAGAGGGTACATTCCAGTAGTGAACCAGTATCACAACGTGGGTATATTGTCACCATTTGCCACCATTTTTATCTTCCCGTCTGCCATGTGGGGACATGCCGTGCAACTATGACGGCGACCCGGTTCAGTTCGAGTTCTTTCACACACGAAAAATAGGAGTTAAAAATGAAGCAACTGTATAATTCGTAAAATTTAGAGTGCGTCGAGTGTGTCGGTTGTTCAAACAACACTATTCGAGCCGCAATGACTCCTAAATTTATTGATAGAGAGGCTTTGTGTGAGGTGCGACACCTAAACCTTCCTGAATTTAATCGATTATTGATAAGCAAGACGAAGACTTTTTATTGTCAGGTGCTTAACTATCGTATGACACCGCCAGAAGATTACCTCGTGACGGCCACTGCCCTCACTGAGTACCCTGGTGTCGATGAGTACTCACCAAATTGCAAGGATTTTCAGTTGCATAGGATTCGAGTGAGAATTAAAACAATTTTCGAGTTTTTTTCTACGGCGGCTCAGAATCCTATGACGCTGAACCGAACGACCTATGCTAGATCTCTGTTTGATTGCTACGTGTTAGCGAGTATTGAAAGAAGGAAGAAATATGCCATTTAGACAGACAAAGGATTCTTTCTTTTTAATTCTTGACAAAACGAGTTTGGTTAATTTTGTAGGGAATGGTGAAGAAATTTTCACACATTATGGTGAAGTGGGGGAAATTGAGCACGCCAGTTATGCTGTTGTTGAGGTAAATGCTATTACTGTTAGGTGTCCCCGGATTTTTCCGATTCATTGCTTCCTGTGTTGGACTGCGCCTCTATTATGGTGATCGTGGAAGGTTCTGGAGTTTTAGAAGAAGTCAATACACCTAGTAGCAGTAGATTAACGGTAATTTCTTTTGGTATCGGTTTTCTTCATTCCCACGCTCTACTTCTACATCACTTTCGCTTCTAATTAGCTTTTCAGTGAGTTTGTTTTGTTTTGTTTTTTTCACCGAACGGTCTTAGTACGGATAATTTTGTTCTGCCTCAGTTAGGTAACTCAATTGGAACATTGCTGTATTCATCTTTCTCGAACAGGTATTAAATGATGCTTTTCACTTGATTTAACTTTTTAGCCTCCGTCACAGTCACAGTCAGTTGCGCGTATAGAAGCGTTAGATAGACGAGACGTAGCACGCGGTGACATCATTTACATTCCACCTGGAAAACGGTTAAGGTCATCTTTCGATTGAATTTTCTTATTTAACATACGAAAGACTTGGTAGTAGAAGCTTCAGTGGGTGCCGGAGAGAGAGACGAGAAGGGTAGTGGTGTGATCTAGTGGTAGTGATGCCGTTCATCATGAACGTGGTGCTGGCTCAATCCCTCCATGAGCTCACCAAAGTCCCCTATCCCCCTGTTAGAAAGTTGCTGCTAAGCTTGTTTGAAATCGCATCACACCCCTGAATCCAAATAGGAACGCTTTAGCCCCGCTATCCCAGAACTCCTAGAGAATTAACTCAACCAGCACTTAACAACGTTCATAAAAAAACACGACAGTAATAACGAATCGAATCCAAGAAGTGCTGGTACCCTACAATAGTTATGAAAGCGAGTCTTGTAATAAAAGAGTAAAAACTTTTATTCCGTTAAAAACTTAGGTACTTAGGCTGCCACTATAAACATCATTCCGTCACGATGCGTACCGGAAGAGTTCAGGGGACATCGGTTGTTTCATCGAGTATGGAAGGTGTTATACTAATGTATAGTGCCGCTTTTCCTTATAGTTCATAACTGAGAAATAACTATAGCTACCTCACTGAGCCAGTACATCCTCGATCCCATTACCAGTCGATTAAGTACTAAGGGAATGAATGGTAGTGAATATAGGTTCTTAAGATTATCTGTAGAAGCAAAGGAAATGTTAGCATAAATCTACGCCAAATTCTGAAGCGAAATAGAAATGTTCGGTTAAAATCTGCATCAGAAAATTTGCTTTGTTTTTCCAAGTATTTTAACAGGCACTTCCTGGTTTAACTGATCCTAAGCGCACGCTGGATTTTCAGATTTACGAAATATGCCGGAAAAATTGAGGCATTCCGAACTTTTAGCTATGAACTAGGACCGGACCATGAAAATCGGAAAACTGTCGTGGTACGTCGCCTCTTATAAGCAGAACAAATGACTTCTCACTTCTCACTTATAATGACTCCAGCATTTTTACGTTTCGTTCTTTAAGGAGGCTGCAGTTCCAGCTACACTTAAAAGGCCCATTTTCACAATGGACGAGAAGTCTTCCGGGAGAGTTTTCGAAGTGGAATCCGAAATGGATGGTTTCATATAGAAGGAAGGAATTGTATTGTACCTTTTCTCCTACGAATCTTTCATCTTCCTCTCCTTTTTCACGCTTCTTATTTCTTTGAAAAGAACGTACCATTTAACTTTGGATGGTAAGGTCAGACTGTAAGGAGTCTTTACTCAATTTCGATTCACTTTCATTAATGGAAGGTCTTCTCCCCTAGAGGCGATTTTTATTTTCATGTCGTCAAGTCTTCCAGTGATAAAGCATTGTAAACAAGCCATGCATAGAACCACAATGGTGCTGAGATACTTGCAAGACTCCCGACTGCAGGTGTCTGCGGTGGGGAACGAACGCCCTATTATTGCCTCTCAGCTAGTTCGTTGTGATTTCGACTACAGCCTCGGCTTAACTGGGTTCCTTGCCGATTTGGGTCTCCTAGATCAATCCCGCTGACGGGTTCGATTATTGCTTATGGCGCTGATCGATGGAAGTAACTGAGAGACAGGTGAAAAGAATGGCCCGCATGGCGTGACGATGAACGCGTTAGCCCCCGGGAAGAGTAATAGCGCGTTCGTTCCTCACCACAGATACCTGCGGTTCGGAATTTTGCAAATATTTCAGCATCATTATGGTTGTAAACCACGTACAATTTAGGTGTTCTTAAGATCTTCTTTAACTGCCACTTGAGTACATTGTATTTAATGTCGTCTAATGATCATAAAATCATTTATTCTTCTATAGGTGTGATGAATAAAATTGCAATTTATCTGGGAGAACAGCAGCATTGGCTCGATGCATCGGTAGACCACCGCAAGTCATTGTAAGGGCCAGATATGCATTCAGTCATCTCCAAACAAAGCGTAGTGAACTCAAATGGATGGCGCGTCCTTCAGGATTGATCAATGCCGAGAGTTTTTAATCCTTTATCCTTTTTGAAAAGATTTAATGGAATGAATGAAAGATGACGTGACTGATACTAAGAAATGCTTCTAAATTAAGCGTTTTTTATCAGGTTTTTTGGACCTGAAGGTATTCTTTATTTCATTTTATTTCATTTTTTTTCTTACTTTTCCTTCATTTTTTTCCAAATAGAGGAGTGTAGATGTTCTTCACCAGATATACCGAAATCGGTTTCTATAAAATGTCTTCATGGAAAAATTATTGGAATGGTCGCTACTTGATTTGTGAGTGGAGCCTACTGAAATACAATGCCATTTCATTTTTGAGAATTTTAAGTGTAAAGAACAATAGTTTAAAACGATTTTTCAGAAACACTTACTTATTCTATGACGCATTAAAGACGGGTTTTTTTCAACCATTTTACATTTTAATGCGAGGACAGGGAGCAAACAGCGTAGTGGTAAAGTGATGTCGACTATGAACACCGTGCTGGCTCAATCCCGTACCAGGCTCACCAAACCTCTCATCTCTACGTGGTCGAAAAATTGGTACCAGACTTGCTCGAATAAAAGAAAACTTTCTGTAATCCAATTGGGAACACTCCTGTCCGGCTGTCTCAGGACTCCAAAGAGAATCGACCCGACCAGCTTTCTGCGGCATTCAAGGTGAGATAAAACTCCTTAAGCAGCACTCCAAGCTACACGTAAAATTGTAGGACCTTCTTGGATGATGGATTTTAGGAAACGAATCAAATGTTGGAAGTGCTGCGCGCAGTAGACGTGAGGAGGGCTCGTATAAGGAAAGAAAATAGAATGTAAAGACTAACTAGTCTTTCAAAAGCTGATAAATAGCGAACAATGCACTGATAATGCACAGTATATGAATCCGATAATCCAACTTTATCATCTGTTCTCCCATTGATCGTTGAACTACTTGAGTTGGCGCCAATAGAGTTTCCATTTATCGCTGCTGTGTGTAAGAGTAAAAAAATGAGTTCTGTGCGCTTTACGGACTCTACGAGCATCATGTATTTCTTCTAGGATTTCTGTAGAAATTTCTGACCATCACGTTGGGTGGTCTTCCAGCTGTGGGCTTGGCATTCCATGGCACTTTGCTAATAACTGCTGTCAATAGGCTGTCGTTAAGACGCATTGCATCCTCGGATTTCGTTATTTCCGATGGTTTTTCTTGTTACAGCGAAGTGTCTTTGATCCATGGTTATCGATATAGGCTGAAACTTTCTTATCTTAGCGGCCTGGAAAGGTCAAGTTGATAGCAACTCACTCGGCCAGACCCCTCCATAACCAAACAAAGAAACTCCAAACCAAGATTTCAATCACTTTGAACACAGCTTTGCACACTTACCGCTTTCTATGAGGTTTCCACTAAGTATGTCACGTAGAGACCAACCGCACAGAAATCACGTGGAAGTATAATGTGCCCCTCACATCAGAAAAGCAGTTTTATATACTGCCCTATATCACGCGTGATAATGAGGCATTCTTCCCTGCGGTTCATTTTCGGATTTCTGGAATTAATCCAGAGTGCCTCGAGAGTTTTTCGCGCCTGTGTTCTTAATTCGCGTGCGAGGATCGTGACACATACTTCGAAGTCGTCCCCGCTATGTCTCTGGGTCCTATGCGTGCCTAGCGGGGTATTTGGTCTATTTTTGCCGGCTAGGGGTTCTTTCATGCGGACACAGAGGGGTCTACCCGTTTCGCCAATGTATTCGTCTCCACACGCCTTACCGGAGATCAGATAAGCTATACCCGAGCTCATGCAATCACCGTCTCTACCACTGGGGCAAATTATGCAATTTTGAGTTGCACATAGACGGTCATATAGGCGGTTACGAACTAGCTGGCGCTTAAGATTACTCGGTGGTATTTCAACTACGCTCACCGAATTCTCTAAGCCCGCCCTTCTTAAGCAGCGTTTTATAGTTGTACTTATATCATTTGAGATGAAGGGTAGGATAAACGGGACCCTTCTATCGCTAGAGTTGTCGTTTGGAGGCCTACGATTTCCTCTACACCTATCCTGAGCTACAGTTTCGTAGCCATTAGAAACGGCTATTTGCCGTGCCAAGTTCCGGGACTCCTCTCTCTGCTCTCTTCCCGTGCACACGTTGGTTGCTGTTCGAAACATGTTTCTTATAAGCGCCCTTTTCGTGTGAGAGGGGTGAGAGGAGAGGTAATGAACCAAGATATTTTTACTACTTGGCTTTCGGTACCACTTTGTAATGTAGCCATTTTCTGATAGGTGAATTTGTACGTTCAAAAATGGAAGCCATTTTTCTTTCGGCTTTTCTCGGGTGAACTTGANTGTACTTATATCATTTGAGATGAAGGGTAGGATAAACGGGACCCTTCTATCGCTAGAGTTGTCGTTTGGAGGCCTACGATTTCCTCTACACCTATCCTGAGCTACAGTTTCGTAGCCATTAGAAACGGCTATTTGCCGTGCCAAGTTCCGGGACTCCTCTCTCTGCTCTCTTCCCGTGCACACGTTGGTTGCTGTTCGAAACATGTTTCTTATAAGCGCCCTTTTCGTGTGAGAGGGGTGAGAGGAGAGGTAATGAACCAAGATATTTTTACTACTTGGCTTTCGGTACCACTTTGTAATGTAGCCATTTTCTGATAGGTGAATTTGTACGTTCAAAAATGGAAGCCATTTTTCTTTCGGCTTTTCTCGGGTGAACTTGATATACTCTGACTGTGCGTCTAACAATTCGAAGCATTTGTCCATTTCCTCTTGTGTTGAGCAAAGGA